TAGCTCTGCCAGACAGGCCGGGCCGTACGAGGCGCTATCCCCGCGGCCGCAGAGCCGGTGGTGAAAGGCTCTTCTGTGCCCTAAAAACGCGACCTGCAGCCGCCGAGGGCAGGGTCTGCCTGTGATTTCGTCTCGTTGGTGTCATTTAAGGACAGGCCCGATGAGTGTTGTACTAATGGGCAGCATTCAAGTAAAATTGAGAGGGCAGGAGGGGGAGTGGGGTGTGTGTATCCTATCTTGTAACTAAAAGTATAAAAAAAAACTTTTTTAGCTAGCTCGTAGCTGAATGAATGTGTGCTACCAGAAGTTTTACTAGAGCATCAGAAAATGACAGACGACAACAGTACTTCTGTCTTGGAGTTGGAGGCCACAGGTCAAGCTGCTTCGTGACACCAGCCGTGCCTCCCGCTTAAACGGGAGCAACACAGTGCTGTTGCTGCTGAACAGATCCAACTTAAAACACTTTTGGATAAAACTTTTAAAAGCACATGCTTGCCATCAACAGAACTACGCCGCCTGGGATTGGCAGCTGAAACTCTGGCCTGTCTCTGGAACCAGGCTGCTGCAGCACTGGGAACTCTGGCAGACTGCATACCAGATAAGCAAGTTTTGACCTTTGTTACTTTGCCATATTTTCTAGTTTTACTTTTTGGAGGCTTCATACAGCTTGCTCACTAGTATTTAAATGTAAAGGTAGGTAGGAAGGAAGCTGTAATAGCAATTTCCATTGCTGTGTTTTTCCCTGAACATAAAGTTTTCCCAAAAGTTAATAAAAATCAGTATCTTGATTTTACTCTATAGTTAATATGGCACCTCCTGTTTGACTCTTGTTGACCTGGTGCATTGCCATTTTAAATGAGAATGCATTACTGACTGCAGTGATACTGATTTGTCCAAAGTTTGGGAGATTGTGATGGAAATAACTATGCACAGCATTCCATGTAATAAAATACAGAGAAACAAGTCTAAATGCAAGACCTATGTGATAGCAGGGAAAGCAAGGTCTTGTGGCCAGCCAGTAGCATGGGAAGTGAAAGACCAGAACAAAATAACAATAATTTAGAATCAGAACTAACATAGAAAACATGAAGTTCATATTCATAAAGAAGTGACTGAAACAGATAGGGGTTTGAAGAAATATTTGGTCAAGGCCAAACTTAAGGTTTTTGTATTTCCAGCATTTATTTCCTAAACATGGTGACAATGGAATTAAAATATCAACAGGGCCCTGACTAAAGTGATGTCTTAAGTTAACAGACCTACAAAATAAATTCTGTTATGGCTAAAGTAATTTTAGCCATTCCTACATGCCCAGCTTTTCTTCTTTTAAACACTGATGAGTTTTAGCTAAGCAGATATTGAGAGATGTTAAAATGGCACCTCCCTCAGGAAAAATAAGACTGGGAAGAAAGAAGGTAAGAAAAATTATTTCTTTAGAAGAACTGTATTGATATTTTATCAGCCATATGCAATATGATCCTCCTTGACATTCCTTTTGTAGGGTATAATTGCGTAGAACAGATTATCTTCTCTATCCACTGGGGAGGTCTGATAAGGACACATTAGCATAGACCTACCTAAACTTCTCTTTCTGTAGGCAAACTCTGGTCTGAGCATCCATCTGTTTTCTCTTTTGTCTGGTGAACTTCACTTCTAACTTAAGCTAACATTAACATATTCTTCTGCTACTTGATTATACTTAAATTTCTTTAACATAGGGAACAGGTTTAAAGAAATCCAGTGTATTTTACTTGTTAACTTTTTCCATTATTGTGGCAAGTTTTGTGATCTGTGACTTACTGGTATAATGCCAGCAGTGTCTTCTAACAGGAGTTAGATTACATCTACATAGCTTAGTCCTAAAGTTATTGGTGGGGAAAAAACAATAACCAAATAGATCAAGGGGCAAGTGTTTGTGTAGAAGGGTAGAGAGGAAAAAGGGAAAGCGACTGGGCAGACTTAGCAAGTTTCTTAAAACTAAGGTATAAATCTCATTTAAGGCACAAACCTTTGTTATATAAGTTCTTTCCAGAGAAGGCTGAATTCAGTTGCTAATGACCTTTAAGGGGTGCCATACTCTAGTGTTAGAGGAACGTCTCTTAGGCAAAAGAAGTAATCCACTTGGGAAGTTAAAAGCAGTGTCCTGAGAAAGTGATTTTATTAGCTGTGATTTATGTTATCAGAGAAAAGAGACATTGTTGCAAGTAAATGTTCTTCCATTTCTGAAATTCATTTGGGCTTGTAAAACACATCACCTTTAAACCGGTGAACTTGGATGTTCTTTCTCAATACCTGTGTAAGGATGAAGAGTACTCCTTTCAAGCAACCCAATGTTATAACCAAGAAAACAGAGTTTAATAAAACCAAAATCCTTTTTTACTGTCAGGTTCAATTTGAAGCCTACTTCTAGTCTAAACAGAAGACTTAACTTTAAGCAATATTAAGTAGCTGAAAAATAGGTGTTTTGCTTTCTTATATAATAAGATCTTAAAAGTGTTTCACCTGTACTTGGTATTGTATAAGACAATACCTGTGTATCTGTCTATAGGTTGTTGGTTGCCATTGTAAAAGATGGAAAATAGGTCATTTGACTACTTTGATTCATCACGATATGAAATAGTTTATTATTCCTCTGCTAAACAAGGGAAAAACTTTTCTTCTTAAGAGGTAGCACTAACTCCACTGACTCATGCTTTTGTACTATCAATTAGATGAGATACTCATTAAATCTTTTCATCCATTTGTTAAAATTAACATTTAGATTCTCAAATAAGCAAATAAAACACTAGAGAGCAACTTTATAGAAAGATGCATATATATGAATGTAGTTCTAGTCAGTACATTAACTGCAGCCATAAATTACATACATTCATTTGAGTATTGATACATACATAAGTCTTGTAGTTAGTGCAAATGGCCCATATTCTACCTCAATTTTACTACTGGAAAAAAACAGTACCAATAACCGTACAAGGTGATCCTAACTGAAAGTAACAACATAGCTAAATCAGAAAAAAGTTATAGGGGTACATACTTCAATGATGAGCACAGCTCAGATGTGACACTTAGAATTTCTAGCCCACTCACTTCTTCAGTGGCTCCAGAAAATTCTTACACCATTCACAAAAATACATTCCATAAGTAATGGAAGTGATACATACACTTCATGAATGGCTGAAATATGTACTTTCATAAATTTCCTATATTAGTGAAATAATAGCCTTCCATGATTCTTTGGGGAGTAGGGAAACAACTAGGTTTTTTTCCTTTGTTAGGAAAACTTTATCTTTTTGAATGTTTCTTATACCTTAAATAGTACTTTCCTCTTCAAATAGGTTGAGATTAAATAAAGTATCGGTATACTTTATGCATAACACATTTCAAAAATAATATGAATCTTGAACATTCCTTTTTTAATAAAGTGCAAAGATGAAGGATTAAATTTCTCTTAAATAAAAATAGGAAATCTAATTAAAAAAGATGAAATCAGTTACACAGTATTAATGCATCTTTTTCTTGGCTTTGCGCTTCTTGTATTTTTGGTCACGTTCTTTTTGTCTCATTTTGTCATCCTCAATACTAGTGTCACTGTCACAGCTTTGCTGTTCTCTCTTTCTTTTAGAGGTGCTTTCATCCACCTGGTGCACTTCACAGTAACTTGAACATGGCAGGGCCAATTCAAAAGAACTCTGTGTAGACTTTAAATTTGCAGCTTGCTTCTGATAGGGAGAAAAAGACAAATTTGAAGGCAGTGGTGGAGTCATCTGATAGTAAGGAAATTGTTGACCCACTGGACTCTGTACTGTGTACTGCTGTGCTAAAAAATGGTTCATCTAGAGAAATAGAAACTTGAGTTGTTAACACTGTAAAGAGGAAGTTCTGAAGAGTTTAATTTTGCATGCATTACAGCTTATACAATGAAAATACTGATAAATTATAAAAGAATGTAACACAGAATGATTGAGAATAAAGCTTATATATTTTATTATATCAATTAGTATTGTTGGAAAAAGCAGACAATTTTTTCATGGCAAAGTTAGAACACAGATGTAATCTGATTTAAGATTAAACAGCCAGTTAGTCCTTGTGTAATGTAATCAAACATGGCATTCCTTACATTTCTTCATCTACATAATTTATAAACATTTGTAACTGCAGTGCCTATTATTAATGCAAAGACATGCACATCTGCAATTTTTTTTAACCTGGTTTAACTAATTTTAATGTGGACAAGGCATTCCAACAAGGTACAGTGAATCCATACATCAAAGTACTTGGAACAACGCAGTAAGTGCCCAGCTTATTGTTACAGTCCCTAAAGTATCCCAAGAGTCCCTCTCATACAAAATGCACAGCCCAAATACAGAAATAGAATTACCAAGGTCAGAAAAGAGCTGCTTCCTACTGACTGTCAGTAACCAGAAAAATGATGGGGAGCATGTCCAAGTACGTTACATGTGCAAGCAGACTCCTAGTGAGTAACCTGCCTGGCTCACCCAAACAAAGTTGAGGTAGATGCGTGACGAGATTGTGTCCTGCTGACACTGCAACAAACTATCGTTGGAGACATACTGCAATACCATCCCTTCTAGCAAGCAGAAAATGGGATGATGTTGGTTGTGTGTGCTGGTCTGCCGAATTTGGTCTTTCAGTGTTTATGTACTGCATTATTACTGAGGAGTGGGTTCACTGGCGAGCACAGCGGGGGACATGTTCGCTCCCGAGCCTTCCACCACAGTGGAGGGGATGGGAAAATTTGTGCAAGCACCAGCTCTTCTGAGGGCAAGATGGAAGGTGGGCCACCAGTGCATGCAACAGGGAACAGACCCTCTCCCTTTTCCTCCTCAGATTGACACTGGCAAGAGTAATCTTGCCAGATTTCCAGATCCAGACTTCGCCCCTTCTAACATTACAAAGGACTGGCCATTCCCCAGACAGACTGGGTGGCAGCAGTCCACAGCTGGTACCTCACATTAAATGCTGAGTTTCTTCAGTCCTACTGATCCATACTCATCATATTCAGAAGCTCCATGATGTTTTTGTTGAGTTTGTGTTCGGCCCACAGGTTGCCATCTGGAGAGACCACTTCCCTTGCTTTGTGGAATATCTCGGACAAAATTGATTAGGACAAGAGTGGCCCAGTGCGCCAGAGTCTGTTAGAGGGGAAGCAGAATACAGGTTCTCACTGTGTACTGCTGTGGAAGTAAATCATGAATGTGAGAGCTGCAAGGGGCATATAAAGGTTCCGGCCAAAACTGTTGATGCCCTAACTTGGGCAGCAGGGATTTGTTGGGTGAGTTTTAGGTTTGGTTTTAGGGCATTTCAGACTTCTGCTGGGCATTTCTGAATCAAGTAGAAGAGCTAAGAGTTTCCCTGACTAAATTATCTGTCTATGAAGAAGCTATTGCTTGCATGGTTGTAATTTTTGTCTCACAAAGGGGATTTGATTTGGAACACAGTACAGGAGAGAGCTTCATCTGTAGACTGATATTTTTAGCCTCCCTAAGCTATATACCTTTAAGACATTGCTGCAGTAAGAAAATAGTTTGGTTTGGTAGATCCCCTGTTATTATAGTATCCTTAAGTGCTAAAATAAATAGCCCTAATACTGTCAAAGTTAACAGCCTAAACCACATTTTGAGACATTAAATAAGCACTGTTGTTTGCAGAAATGCAGAATACATTCAACTTTGTAAAAAAAGCTTCCAAGTTTTTAACTTTTAGCTCAAACTCACCATCTTTTGAAAGCCTGAGTATTCATGAGGTAAACTATTGTTCATTGGAAAAGGAGTAACAGGAAATGGAGGATTTCCATAAGGCTCTTGATACCTAGGAAAAACAAGCAAATGTACAAAGACTAGACATCCACCACATACTGCTTACCAGAGTGCTGAGACTTAACTCTTGGGCTATAATGAGAATATCCAAGAGGAGAACTGAGATATTAACAACTGGACTTCCATGGAAAAATTGATAAAACAAGAAAAACAAAGGCTCAATTAATGAGTAATCCTCACATGTACTTAAGTGCAGATGCAAAAGAGTTCTGGACTTCACCACGGGAGTTTAGCTTCCATAGAGAGTTCTGTCACATTTGTAAATAAAAATGTTGGAACACTGAAAAATACTGTATCTGGGGTGTTCAGACTTCAATTATAACAGGTTTATACCTGTGCATTCATATGTGCCCAACAGCTGCTTGTAAATATACACACAAAAAATACAGATATAAAGTCAGTGGAGTTTAAAAAGATTACCTCCATTTTCAGATTTCTTTCCCCTAACAACTGTGAACATTGTTAGTACAAACACTGTATTTCAATATTTTCTCATGGTCCTCTATCTTGCAGGAACAAATAAAGAATGGAAAATTCAAGCTAACTGAAATTCTGGCAAGCTAAACAACCAAATGTCAAAATTAACTAGAGCCCACTGCAAGTCATCAGTAAGGACGCGATTAAAGCATGCAACAGCTGTTTTAATGAAAAGTCTAAAGATTGCTCTACCACATCAACTAATTTTATTAAGAAGATTTTTTTAAAAATTATAATCATACAGTTCATTTACAGGTGATCTTTTTTACCTATATGAAGGTGAATATAAGTCAATATAGTTCTCAAAACCATGGGTAGGGCTGTTTAGTTCTGATGAGTGAGAGCTCCCTGTAAATAAGACAAGAGCATAATGACTATTCAGTCACAACTATTCAATTAACAAATTCAAAACACAGAAAGTGTTGTGTGTCATCTATAGTGTGCTAGTAGTATATCTAAGGTAGTATATAAAGGTAAGGTGCTACTTTATGGCAGATAACTTATAGCATCATTTTACTGCTTGAAAACATTAATTTATAATTTATTCACTCACAGAAGCATAAATCAGGGCTGTTGAAGTAATCCAGAACAGAATAATTCCCACTCTGTTACAGACCTGGGAGATGCTTCTGATTTTAGGAACCTCGGCCATCCTACTTAAACCCAGCAACTGCTCTGTACAGCCTTTGCAGGAAGGAGTGGCAAAGTGCCTAGTGGGAACATGATGAGTCCTTAATGTTTGAGTTGCAAATGCTGCCTGATCATTAGCTTAGTAGAAGGTTTATTCTTATAAACGTAAAATAAAGAATATGACATGATTTGACTATTCTTTGAGCTACAATCCCTTCCACTTAAAGCAACAGCTCTGATAACTGTGGCTTTAGTATAAAAACAATCAAATTGATAACTGCTGCACTTACTGAATTGACTTTTCCTGCCAGACTGCAAATGAAAGTCACACCCTGATTCCTAAATGTAATCTGGCATGAAAACCTGTGTTGCTGCTATGTTTTCCATACAGCGTGCTCTGAGCTGGCTTGCAAGTTATGCTATTCTGACCCAACCTATTGTATTCTCTTAGTAAACAAAAAATACAAAGACTGAATCCTTCCCTATGCAAAAGCCACAAGAAGTTTTTTTTCCTTAAAAAAACCAGACTGTAATTTGTTCCAACTATAAATCAACAGCTTTGTAAAAGACTGTAGGATTCAAAAATAGTTATTAAAAAAATTTACAAAGACTTAATCACCGAGACTACTAAACGTACCAAACCGATACTGCACTTTAATTGGTCTTCCATACAAACGGATTCCATTCAGCAAAGCTACTGCATAAGGCACTGATTCTTTGTGCTTAAAGCAGACAAATCCAAAAGACTTAGGTTTTCCTTCTTTGTCCTTACAAATCGTCACTTTAGTTAATGGTCCAGCCTGAAAGAAATTTGTATTATTTTCTCACAGAAATTAACAGAGATTGACACTTCATTCTGTTCTGAATGTTTCATAATGATGTATATTTTGCCATAGTCAGAAACAGTGCAAGTTTCTCAGTATAAGAATCTCCACTTAATTTTGAAAATGTTTGTCCACATTCCTCAAGCTCAAATTTTGAGCCTTCTACAAACAAAAATGAGCTCCACAAACACTAAAAGGGAACCAAGCATCAGTCCATGGGTGATGTTTAGTCTTTAATAATCAGATTTTTTATTATTTTTAAAACATGATGACAGCTGCTGCAAGGGGGAAGACTAATTTACTGACTTCATAGCAAAAGTTATCCTGTGCGTGTACAGCTACTAGTACAATTATTACAGAACTTTTTTGCAGAGCTAACACAACTAAGCAAGTTGATAATATCAGCTATGTGAAAGTGACCTACTCTTGCTTAAATTCCTAAGATGGGCAGCATCAACGCTGTGGGAAACCAAACCTGAACACAGAATAATGCTTCTGGAACCACCACAAAACAGAGTTTTTTTGTACTGCCTAACCCTCAACACAACTGCATGGCAAAGAATCAAGAGACCCCATCATCTCATCAGGGATAATGTACTGTTTCTGCCCTGCCCCCACCAAAAAACCCCAAAATCCCACCAACAAAACCCCAAACCACACCCTTTGGCTGAAATATCTTCTTTGAAAAGTTCCATCTCTGCCTACACGTACCATTTTAATCCTTGCATAGTACTTGTAGAACCAAATTAAAGTAGTGATATTCCATAAATAGTGACTCAATTTTCAATGAAACTTGTCATTTTCATAATAGAGATCAAAGGTGACAAATTTTCTCTACACAAGATGGAATCAGTGTATAGTCTCCAAATTAACAGCTTCTCATCAGAACAAACTATGTGTCTATACAGCCAATTCAGCCCAGTGAAAAGGAGTAACCAACAGTCTCCTGCCACAGCTCAGGAGTGTTAAGGATATAACAACTTAAGTTTAGGAGGATATAATATCCAGATGAGCAATGAAGTGAACATAAGGTACAAAAAAACCCATCAGCAAAAATAAAATACTGAATGTCTAAATTACTGTAGTAGATGGAGAATTCATCGTTCTGAATCAAAAAATAGCACTCATCAGTAGAACTGGGATGCACTACTACTGCTGATACAGTATGTACTTTTCAGTAAAAGTCGCTCAGAAGTCACCTATAGCTTCAGGGAGACAGAAGTTAACTTGTAACAGCTTTGCAGCAATTAAACTGCATTAACAGTTGAACATTCAAAATAAACACACAGCATATGCTCAGATGAAGAAAATAAACCATAGAAAGTAATCTACTTTATTATTCCGCGTTTTCAACAGTTACTGTCAAACAACAAATCTGCAGTTTGTCTGCTGTGAGCATTTAGAGTAATGATGTGGAGCCATCTCCCTTATTATACCCTCCATGTTGTCAGACTGAAGATATTAAGGATTGTCATCTGTGATAATAATGTCTGATTGCTGTATGCTTTTGCCAGCTGTGTATAAACTAATCCTAAATTAAATAAGATGCTTTTGCTGAAAAATGAAACACCCCCACCCTCCAAGCCTGGTGAAAGTAGAGAAGTCATATAGACAAACACAAAGGATCAAAAATAATGTACAATTTTTTATTATTGTTGCAGAGGGTGATCGGGCTATACAGCAATGGAGACTACCTAGGTTGTCCTGTACAGGGAAATCTTCAAAATGCTGATCTCATCTTTCCAAATATCTTGAAGTTTGCTCGGGTTTTTTGTTTCTTTTTTTTGTTTTCATTTTGTTTTGGGTTTTGGTTGGGGTTTTTTGTTTGTTTGTTTGTTTTTAAAGAAAGGATTTCAGTAAGATTATGAACATATTTATTTTTGCTTGAATTGGCTTTTTGTTGTTGTTCTGCACTACACTGCAGTTTTTTAAAAAATTACATATATCCAGTCTTCTGATTATTATTTGCCTAACAAGGAGGATCTGGTTCTTCAAGGACTAGAAGCAACAAACTCCAAGTCCTTTGCAGGTCAGTCTTTTAAACATGTAGTCTTCCTGTTCATAAATAAAAATATTAACAGTTTAGAAGTAATAATAGATACTTGCTCATAATGCAATGGGGAAAAAGCTACAGGTCAGGAGTGCATCTTAAGGACTATGCGATAGCAGGAGTATTGAACTGTATACTTTCCAAGAAAGGACAACACTGCAATGAGAAGCATATACTGTTGCAGCAAAAGACAGAGAAACCTGAGTGAGAATACGATGAAGAGAAGGAGAAAGGTAAGTAGAGTTATTGGGATGACCTAAAGACCCAGATAAAAGTTAGCAGTTGGATGACTGCTGCACATTATGCAGAAGAGTCATGAAAAATTGCATTCTGAGAGCATCTGCTTATTTGTATCACTTTTGTAACAGAATTTGTATGGTATTACTCATGTCCACTGGTAAGATAAGGCTTCTGTAACCTAACATTTACACTTATACAGCAGACTACTGTTTAGTACTGGAAACAGTACTATGGAAACTGCATAGAAAAAAAGGGGAGGGGGGAGGAGAAACAACTGTTTCTTAGCTAGTTTTAGGGAAAAGTTAAAAACTGAAAATTAGGAAGAGATGGAAACAACTAAAAACCCAAGGGCCTAGAACATAGCAATCAAAAATGTGTTTGAATGCAATTGGGTAGCATGCTGAGGTCTTGCCTAGTTAACAATATCTGATTAATCAGTGAGTAGAAATAGTTCCAATTAGCAAATGAAACCGCAAGAGAACAGATGATGCTGACCACCTCTTTTTTTGCACTCATTATTTTGCAAACTCACCAGAAGGAAGCAAGGTTCATTCTGAGACTGGAAGGAAATTAGTGGAATAATAAAAGCATGTTTATCAGCATGCTGTCAGCTAGACTGTCCAATCAGAGTCTAGGACCTTTTAGCTTGACAGAGGCTGACTGGATCAAGCCAGGAGTTAAAAAAAAACCCCACAAAACAAAACCACACAACAAACACCATAAACAAATTCAGGAAAAGCCCATGATCAGCATCTATTGTCAACGGACCTTGAAATGTGATGCTTGCCATTAGCGATATAATGCTCCCTCCTCTCCATATCCTCCCCCCTTCTTTCCTTACTACTTTCAGGTTAATAAGCCTGGCTTAGCCAGAGATGCTGTCCTGCAAGATGAAAACTGAAGCCAAGTTAGCGTCTTAACATTTTCTGTCTCTGCCGTTTTCCTTCTTCCTTGGCATACCTTATTTACAAAGAAAGAGAATTAAGCTCCGGTTTGAAACAGGTCCAACTGGTTAGTATTTTACCACCACCACCCTGAAAATCCCACCGATGGAATTTTTAATACCTTCTCAAGCATTAAAAGCTAAAACACTTTGATAGAAAGGTCAGTTACAGGTGGAAGCCCAGAGCCCCACCTGCACATCATTGCTACTGCCTCTCGCACTCTGTTAATAGTTTTAACCTTTCCCAACACATTTTCAGGTTTTACGCTGATTTTTCTTAGTAAAATTATGTATCAACATTTTTTTGCTCAGAATATATTAGAAAAAGCGTAAATTGTATTTTTTTTCCCTCAAGGATTTTAAAAACACCTTTGAAATTATTGATTTTCCACACTAAGCAGGGCCCACTTCGCGGGGCACCAGAACTCGCACAGCCGGGAGGAGACTCAACCGAGGAAAGGGCGCCGGGCTGGACAGGGGCCGCTCGGAGCCGCAGAGGCGGAG